TAATGAATTTGTGAGCCTGTAATCTCTCTTAGTTGTTTCTTAGTGCCAAATGTGGGAACCATATTTGTGATTGGCCATCTAAACAGAATATCTGGCATAGGAAAGCTTTTGCTCCATTGATGAATTTTCAGGAAGCTTTGAAAGGGTTTCTACTACTTTTATCACAGCACTTCCCTCAGAAAGCATTAGCCATCACACCTGTTCTCCAAACATAGTTGAAGTTGGTTATGCATATACAAACATATACCTCCACCTCCTTCCTCTATCTATTCATTGCTTCTACTATTGTTTTCTTTATCAAAAACTAATACAGAGAAATGAGGAAATGAAGCCTGGTTCATCTTTATCTAAGAAGCAAGCCCAATACACTGGATAAGAAAAAGTGATCTGGCAAAACAGAGGACTTACTGTTCCTACGAATTTTAAAGATTACTTGTGAGAATCGACATAGGCTTGATTCCCATACCCTTGTTAGTTGAGTCCCTCCTGACAGGTAGAACAATTTAGTGGAAGTATCAGACCTTTTGGGTTATCTTTGGCTTCAGAGCCTATCCCTTTCATCAAGATTAGCTGTGAGACTCAACTTCAGAGCTGTGGTTCTCTTATCTGCCCGCCTTGCCATGCTACATTGCAGATTAGACACGGAATAATCCGTGATTAGCCTTTTCTTTGCATGAAACACATTAAAGAAAGTGGAGTGACCCACATTTTTCCCTTTCAGTCATGCCTAATCTTCAGTAATAGAATAACCTAAGGCTGCGATCTCAGGTAAGAACTCAGCCAAATGCCACACATACAATTCTCTAATTACTGAACTTTTGACCTCATCATAGAAACATAAAATTTCTGCTAGTCTTACTTATTTGTTTCTCAAGGCTTCCATACTGAATCTCTTTCGTAGGTGTAGGGCCATGACCTCTCTCCAATCAGGGCAACTGTTACTTGCCTTTTCATTTATATCTCAGCTGTCTGAGTTCAAGTTCACCTTGGCCCAGTTGCATTTTCATAGAACTTCCCACTGTGTCCATCAGAGACAATCATTCCCTTTTGCCTTCTAATTGCTTCAGAGAATTCTTCTATACTATAATAATTTCTTTGACTAATGTCATATTTCTATATTATTTGTCTCCACAATCGTAGACTTGTGATTTACAAAAGTTTTAGTGGATCATTTTGAGCCCTGTTCCTGGCACTCTAAAGTACAAAGAGTTTAAAGTAAGAAGTTTTTTGGGTGCAAGGGCAAGTGGCTTTCTGGGAACAGCAAGGGTAGGACATTTTAAGTAATTTCATTTAAATGTTACCATTGTTAATACATGTGGTGATTGCTGACCTACATTAATTGTAGAGTTAAAAGAATGAGATAGCGATACATTTTTGTGAGGCGCTTTGCAGAAGGGTAGATGGGGCGTGAACTCACACAGGTGATTCTTTTGTATGACGAGCACCATGGGACTTTGATGTTAATTATATAATTCACCAAATATATGATTTTCAACAAATCAATCTTTTTTTGTCCTTATTTTCATCACCTGTTCAATTGGGATAGTTAGTCTCATGGGGCTGTTTCTGAGGATTAACTAAAATGTTACATATAAAGTGTTGAAAGTGATATTTGGCACTTAATAAATGCTAGCTAGTTATACTGTTAATTGTATATCCGGCTTACAACTTTCACATCTGTGATGAATGTACCATTTAAAACATTTTTGCTATTTCTGAAGATATTTGCCAAGTGAAAAACTCTGTTACTCAATAATTCTATTTTAACAGGCAAACACTGAACAATGATGAAGATCATTTACCTATTTGGGAATAACAAGAATTATAGGTAGCTCCCAAACGACTTTGCACAGGTGCAAAAATGACACACATTCAGTAGAACTTCCTTTGAGCTTTGAATTTTAATCCTATCGCAGGCTGGGGATATGTGTTAGCAAGCTTTCTTACGATACTGAAGAGCCACAAGGAGCCAGAGTTTCCAGTCAACCACACGATCAGGGGGAGAAATAACAGACCCGATTCTGTACTGTGTTGCCAGATTGTTGGATACAGGTGTTCAATAAATTGCATAAGACATTCAGCACTTTGTTATAAAATAGGCTTTTCATGAGATTATTTCTCACCTGGTGGCTAATATAGCTATTCTGAGTGTGTTTAAGAAATGCTAGACTAGTCTATTCTATTGGATAGGCTGATTGTATTAAAGGTATTTTTACTTAGAATATTTCCAACTTAAAATTTATCATATGTAGTATTAGGATACAACGCCGTTGTAAGCTGAGGAGCATTTTACTGGTGTTCGGTTAGTACAGTATTCTCTGGAGCACATTATGGTAGATGATATGTGTCTGTCTCATTTTCTCAAGAAACTTGGATGGGTTTTGGCAAAATCTGAGCACAAAATGTCATTTACTTTTCTATTTCCATTTATATTCAAATCAGTAAAACCCAAGTGATCTGGAAGAACAGGACCTACAGCCTGTCTTTCTTGGATGTGTAATTAATGCCTATTTAGGGCAGAAAGAAGAATATGGTTTGATTCACTGGGATTTAGCAACAATAGCTAGGAGTGGCTCAGATGAAGCATGAGCCCTTCCTATGTAGTTTTTCCAAAGCTCATTTCATGAGGGCTGGGGTCAGGACACCTGATTCTTTCTAACAGGGTAACATATTGCACAGTTTTTTTTTTTCTGTTTGTGGAAACCGTCATTGATTTTTAATTTGTTTGATGTTTTACTGTGCTCAGTACACAAAAGAGATTTGGAGAAATTTGAGGGGACAGATTGGATTTCCTCTTTCAGGACCCAAGTGCCAAGAACACACCATACACCAAGGAAAGCACAGATGGTTTAGTTTATATTTGAAACTGACTCACCATATACAGTATAAAGCCTGGATCCCACATGTATTGTAAGATTCAGTGGTGGATCCAGATGTATTAAAGACCCAATATAAAAGGGAAACCTATAAAGTCAGTATAAGAAATATTCTTTTTTTTTTTTACCTTAAAAACATAATCACAAGGCTATATAAGTATGCATTTTACAACACACTGAATGGGCTAGAACACCAAAGTGTGGACGTACGAACCCTGATGTACTGCAGCTTGAGTTTAGTCTCTCCTTCAGTCATCCTGAAGTACAATCCTGCCCCAGTTATTCAAATTAAGCATATGCAGGTTCAATGACCTGATTATTGCTCTCCAAGAATTACTTGCATGAGTTCAGAAGATATCAATAGCAACCTGGTTTAGTACAGTAGTTTTTCTTGAGGGGTGGTGGGGAGGAGAGGATGCTAGGCAAAAATCCAGGAAAATACAGTATATAAATATATACCATGGCTCATCATATAGCAATTAATAATAATCTACTTTTAGTGACATGAATAGATCTCTGCAGTTCTGAGGAAAAAAGGATGAAACAAAGTGATGTTTTATAAATTTTTTTTATAACACAAATGTTAAAAAGTGTATATAAAACAACATATAGCTTTGCAAGAATACACAAAAGTAAAGGAATACACAGGAAACAGAGCCTGATGGCCTGCAGGATGAAGGGATGGGAATAAACAAGATTGACAGCCAGGTAAGCACCTTACAAGTTCCTCTGATAATCAAATGTGTCAATACTAAACTCAGCTCTGAAGCAGGTTTCTTAAGTTAGAGTATCCAGCTTAACATGAACATACAAGTCCATTTCCAAGCCTGCTTTCTGTTACAGATGCGCCTCTGTGTTTCTATCACTTCATGTAAGACCTCTTGCTTCCTGCCCATGTGCTTCATTAGACAGGTGTTCTTAATTAAAAATAATGCTAACTATGAAATAGGAAACAGAAAACAGATTTCCTACTTTGCCAACATATTTCAGAATTTGCTATTTTTTTTAATCTAAGGAAGTTTAGACTATTTTCCTTTCTACATTGATGATTTTATGTCACTTAAGATTAGGAAGAGGAGCAGGGGAGATTCGGGGTGTATCTACTGGCTTCAGATTAATTTCAACATTCCTCAAGAAAAAAAAAACACCATTTGCTATTATTTTCTAACATGTTCTGAATTTGAAACAGTGGAAAGTACACATGTGAATATGTAAATATTAATTTCTGGTTTGGGTATAGACTTCTAGGGAAAAACTGTATGACAATGTTAATTTAGAATTCAGGTTAGAAATATATTGCAACTGAATGTGTTGGCTACAAGGAACAGCTGTAAGATGAAGACAGGACAGTTGTCTTACAAAAGGAAGGCTTCTAAAAATGTGAAGGGTTTTTTTTTTTTTAATCTAAATCAACCTAATACACCTGTCATTTCTTCCCTTTTAAAATATCTTGCTGCTGTGCTTCTTTGTTCATGAGTGAAAGCTCATGGGCATCCTGGCAGAATTGTGACACAACTAAATTCTAAGGGTCAGGACTGTGTTTTAGCTTTAAGAAAACTGATGACATTTAACCTGAGTGCTGCACAATAGGTCTGAGTTATCTTCTTCTAATGTATTAGCAAGAGGAAATGAACATTTTTGATTGTCATTGTCCTTCTCTTATGTTTTAAAAATACTAAAAAATCTTAAAACTGTTCATTGTGTTTAATCATTTTAAAAGTTGGTGGTCATACAACAAAAGCAATTCTAGTAGTTTATCTTTTCCATTAGGGGATAATTGCGGTGCAACTGGGAGAGCAATAAGCTGAAATATTTTAACCTGAATTCTTATTTTTAAGTAAAGTGGTTGAGTCAGAAGGATTAGTTTATGATATGATCCATCTGTTACATGGGCGAATTCATTACTCTTCTCCATTTCTCTACTCCTTACTTACCCATCAATCAGACACTGACTTAGCAGTTATGACTCTGGGGAGGGAGCAGTTAGGAATCTGAAAAATGATTTGGATGGGAATGGTCTGAAAAATGCACATTTAGAAATGAAGCAAATGATTCCCAATTTTTAAAATATTTTGTAGCTGTAATTACATTACCTTCTGCTAAAAGGAACGTTATCCAACTTACCATATTTTCGCTCATCTCCCTTAAATCTTTAAGTTGATACGTTTTGTTTATTCCAGAATTGTTGCTGTTTTGTAGATGTGCCATTTTAAAGGTGCCATGGTAGTACTCCATGTTTTGCCCTGCAATGAGAGTGATTTGGACAAAAGCATCAAGATCTAAGACTTGACTGTAATGGGGATAATATGAAGCCTTGAATGTCTTTCTGAGTTGCTTTCTAACTCAATTTCATAAAAATAATAAGCACAACAATGTCCTAAGTTAACTGATAATATTGGTATTTACTGAGTGCCCTCTATGTGGTTGGCATGGCTTTGAGTATTTTACATTTTAACTTTCTAGGATTGGCATCCTAATTATTTTAAAGATGAGAAAAGGCACAGGATCTTTAAGGAACTTGTACTGTCAAAAGCACACACTTTTGTTTCAGAGCTTTAACATTCTTCACTATATTGCTCACTGCTGAATTGAAATGTTTACCACCAAATATAGTCAGTCTTTCATATTTATGGACTCTACCAACTGTGCATGAAAGAATATTTTTAAAAATTGCCTCTAGTATTTGGAGAATGGAAAGCATCCAGGGAATGGGAAACTTTGGATAATTTAGGTAATGGGAACAAAATTAGAGAACTGTTAATGAAAATTAGCAATAATCGATTATACATTTTAAAATAGCTACAGCACGATTGTTCCCAATACAATTAAATAATAAATTTTGTGGTGATGGATATTCTATTTATCCTAAGTTGGCAATTATTCAGTATATATAACCTCTCTCTCTCTACATATATATGTATGTATTGAAATGTCACACTGTAACCCATAATTATGTATAATAATGTATCAATTGAAAATGAATAAATTGTATCTGTACTTGAATATTTTAAAACCGTTTCTTGTTATTATTTCCTGGACAATACAATGTAAAATCTACCTGTACAACCTTTGCATTGGATCAAGTATTCAAAGGAATTCAGAGATGATTTAAAATATTCAGAATGTTGTATGTAGATCCTATGAAAACACTGTTTTATTTTATATACATCCTATGAAAACACTGTTTTATTTTGTGTAAGAGACCAGAGCATCTACCAATTTTGATATACATGGGGAATCTTGGACCAATCACCTACAGACACAGAGGGAAGGTCCTACTTTGCTAAAAGCAGAGGTAAATGCCCATCTTTGTTGATTTCAATTTGTAATGAAAAGCTGGGAAAAGAATGTCGGAGGTTAAAGGTGATTATAGTGTTTAATGCAGATGAGTCAGTCACATCTCTGGCTCTCAAGAAAAGCAAGGGAAGACTCAGCTGGGGAGACTCCTGGGATCCGGTCATCTTAAGGCTAAGAGGATGCAGGATGCGAGAAAGTGGCAGAGTCAGCAGTAGACATGCAGCAGCCAAGAAAACCACCTTGATCCCCCTGGAACCTGGCTCAGGTGGAAGGCAATAGGTTTCCTGGCCATGGATCTAGAAAAGACAGAGGGATCCTAGTAGGGCTAATCTCCTGACTGGTACCTCACTGAGTCCCAAAATGGATCTTTGGTTCCCTTGACTCAGTAAAAAAAAATTAGTAATAATAATATGATATGATATGATATGACTTTAACCCATGCCGTGATCAAAGCTTACTCTGTGAAAAGGTTTCTGTGAAACAAAATTAATTAGTGTGAGAATCTTTTTCCAGTGGTGTAAAGCGTGACTGTGGTTGTTATATGGAACCTGACACTATGGTCCTAAGCCCCTTTGGGCTCCTAATAGACTCTTCACTCCCTGACTAAATCATTGGAAGGTAACAACTGATAAGACCATTCATTTTACAAGTGTAGTCATTTTACTATATTTCTCCATGTGAGAGTGATAGTGTGGAAATTTGTGCAAAAAGAAAAAGTAACTGCTTTTTACTCTCCACAGAAATGTAATATGAAAAGTTCTGAAATGATTTATTTGCATGGTTACAAGCATGTTAGACAATAAAAACACAGTCATTCGCTATTGTTTGGGAAACAGCAAAATTCTCTAAAAATGAAAGGCAACATTTTATCATGCTTCAGTTAATTTATCAGTTTTAATTCATTATTTCATTGATATGTGCTTCCTTTTACTTTAGAAATTTGGTGGACATAAAATTATAAAGGTGAAAGAATCAATTGCATTAGGTAATTTGTCATGGTTTTCCATTTAAATGTATAAAGAGTGACGAAGTCATTTATTCTGACCACTAACAAATTTCAGACAATTTCTAATTTTTATGCTTAATGTAGATACTTGAAGTTCAGTATTTAATTGCAAGCTCAAAGGAAGTAAGAAAATTGTCTGTTTTACTTGAATGCTATGTCCTGAGACCCAGAATGTTCTTTGCATATGCTAGGTATTCAATATTTATTTATTCATAAAATGACTGAATAAACTAAAAGATATTTTGAGCATAGACATTTGTAGATAAGGTACAATTGCTAGATAAACTTTACTAACATATACATAAATGAAACTTGGCAGAAAAATGAGCTCAAACTGAATAAAATTCCTAATTTTACCTACCAGGGACTAAGAAGTGAACTAGAAGACCAATGATGACTGCCACCAATATCAATGACAGCATAGCGAGAAGGCCAATCATCCATGGCTGCAGAGTTCTTCTTGGGGTGCCAAATCCTACCGCCCTGGAGAAAGGAAAGCCCATGATTTACTTTCACACCATAGTTATACAGGTTGCAGGCTTTCTTGTTCTCTTTGAAAAGTCCAAGTTTCTCTCGCCCTTTCCATCAAGAAGACACTTGTTCCAATTTTGGTCCATGTTATCTTGGCCTCATGGGCGTTGTTAAAAATATCAGGATTGAGGGATCTGTATATTGTTCTTGGTTTCTGTTTCTAGAGGCATTTGGTAACCTTGCCTAACTTGTCTTATTGGTGTGGTCCAGTATAGTTCATTTGTGTGAAAACAGGACCATTCTTGCTTTGTTTAGCATTTAACTTTTTCTTTTGTCTTTCAGATTTAGAAATCGATTTCATTAACTTTTCCTCTATCATCTTTAATTGTTGAGAGATTCCTCTGGCACATGAAAAATAAAGAGAGTATAATTGGAACCTCATATTCATCATTTTATCAATTGTTAGCAATTTTTGGAAATTCCTTTACTGATAACTCTGATGTCTATTTCAATGTGAAATAAGACAGCAAGCTTCTTCATCAAATAATTATAACCAATTAGGATATTTTCAACATAATCACATTATTGACATTTCTAAAAATTAAAAACATCACTACAATATATCCTGATAATCTACTTTCTAATTTCATGTATTGCCATTATATTTATAGATTGTTTCTAAAACTGGGACACAATGAGCAAAGTAGCACACTTTATTTAACTGCCTTTTAAGTCTCTTTTGGATCCTCTGCACAGTAAAGAAAACAACCCCAATACTAAATTCAAAATTGGGAAAATACTTGCAAGGTTTACATCTGACAAGAGCTTAATATCCAGAAAATATAAAGAACTCAAACAACACTAAGGCAAATTGCTTATCATTTGATAAAAAAATGGGAAATAGATCTAAACAGACATTTTTAAGGGAAAATATAGAGATGGTCAATAGGTAGGTGAAAAAATGTTCAACATCACTAATCAAAAGAAAATTGCAATTCAAGAGTACAATAAGATACTACCTCACTCTGGTTCTATTGGCTATTTTAAGAAAAGATGAGTGTTGTTAAGGATGTGGATAAAAAGGGTCTCTCTACACTGTCTTTAGCAATGCCAATCAGTGGAGCCATTATGGAAAACAATATGAAGCTTTCTCAAAAAAGGAAAATGGAAAAGCTGCAAACTTCATCAGTCTCACTACTAGTTGTGTAGTCACAGGAAATGAAGTCTCTTGAGGAGACATCTGAACTTCCATATTCATCTTGTCACCATGCCCAGTAACTAAAAATGGAAGTCATGTAAATGTCCATCCACTGATGAGTGAATAAAGAAAATGTGGTACTTGTACATGATAGTATATTGAGAAGCCATGGAAAAGTATGAAACTTTAACATTTGCCACATGTTAAGTGACATAATCCAAGCATAGAAAATATCACAAGATCTCCCTCACGTGGAGTTGGAAGAAAAAGGTAATCTTATTGAATTTAAAAATTTGAAGGTTACTACAAAGGAGGGAAAGAAGAATTGGGGAAAAGTTGATTAATAGGTACATAGTGATAGCTAGATAGTATTAAGAACTGAGTTCCTTTGAATAGTATGTTGATTACAGGTAATGTTAATATGTTAATAAAAATTAGAAGAAGAAATTTTGCATTTTCACCATAAAATAATGTTAGCTATTTAAGAGGATAGATATCCTGACTCCTGATTGGAAATAACACAATGTGTGCCATGTATCAAAACACACAGCATTCAATATACATGTATATTTTTGTGTTTAACAATTTTTTAAATAAAGAAGTTAGAATACTTTCTGAACTTGCATGAGTAACTGCTTTGTTGTGCTACTTGACATGTTTCTAACTATTTCCTGTGCACAAGAATTTAGTCCAGGGCCTGGTGCAATAGTGCAATGGTTAAGGTCCTTGCCTTGAACAAGCCGGGATCTCATATGGGTGCCGGTTCCCATCCTGGCAGCTCCACTTCCCATCTAGCTCCCTGCTTGTGGCTTGGGAAAGCAGTCGAGGATGGCCCAGAGCATTGGGACCCTGCACCTGCATGGGAGATGTGGAAGAAGTTCCTGGCTCCTGGCTTTGGATCAGTGCAGCACTGGCCGTTGCAGCCACTTGAGGAGTGAACCATCGGACGGAAGATCTTCCTTTCTGCCTCTCCTCCTCTCTGTACATCTGCCTTTCCAGTAAAAATAAATAAATCTTTAAAAAAAAAGTTTAGTCCAACACTTAGATTAGTCATGTTAAATTCAGATCTTTAACTTATAGCATATGAATTTATATTCAGTCCCCATTCTCTATTTCTATGAATGCTATTTGAATTCTTCATGACACTTGTCAGTTATACACTTAACCCACTCACTCAGTCCTACATTCTCTATTGGTTTGATTTTCCATCCTCTCAGAATCCAGATAGGAAGTCACTTGAAAATGAAAAAAGGGTTAAAAAAGAAAGGCTAGAACTCGATGGCTTTCACAAACTTTGAAATCAGTCTCATCTTGGCACAGCTGACCATGATGTACAAGTGGGGAAAGGCTATAGCAGTTCTCCTGTCCAGAACAAAAGCTCATGATGTTTGTGGCCTGACATACAGGAGCCTCAGCAGAACAACTCTTCAGTCGTTGACTTCCTGCTCATGGGCATGGCAGCAGCATCTCCAGCCCCAAAGAGCAAGTTGTGACCACTGGAAGAAAATGTGGACAGACAGCCTAAGGAAAATAAATTGTGTATCAAATTTTTTCTTCTCTTTTGGGAGAGCCTTTGTAGAATACATATTGCACCCAGGCCAAATTTAAAAAGTTATAGGAAAAGTAGTCTAAAAGTGTTAGCTACTTAACTGTATATGGGTAAACTTTCAACTTACTGCCAACTTTCACAGATACAAATAAACGTGCCATCTCCTTCCTGTTCTGGGGAAGTTGTTATCCGTTTGCTTCATTTTACTTCAGATTAGAAAAGAAATGCTGTTTGTAAAGCTTGTTGGAATCGAGCTTATTTAGAAGTAGATAAGTACTATTTGCTTATGCATGCTTTTCCTACTTCATTTGTATATGTACAACAAATAGAGTTGTATTAATTTCCTACTGCTCTATAATAAATCAGCACAAATTCAACCACTTAAAGCAATGCCTGTTTAAGCACATAGTACTGTGTGTCTCATGACTGGACTGTCTGCTCAGGATTTCAGAGGCAAAGATGGAGGTGTTGTTTGCAGCTACCCTTTTATCTGAGTCATCTTCCTCCAAGCTCACTGAGGTTTTAGGCAGAAACCAGCTTTTTGAAACAGAGCTAAATTAGGCCTGTTCTCTTAGTCAAGAAGCTCTTGTTCAATTCTAGATGTCATCCATACATTATCAGGGATCCCTTCCACCTTTACAACCAGTGAAGAGAAGTACCATCACATTGAATTTCTCTCACCAACTCAATATTTCCTCTCTAAATAAAGTCCATTCCCTTTTAAGATGCCACTGGATTACACTGGGTTCACCAAGGATAATCTCTCCATCTTCATAGCAAGCTGACTTGGGATGCTAATTACATCTTCAAAAATCCCCTCATGGCAACGTCCAGGTTAACGTTTTATATAACCGCTAGAGAATGTATTCATATTCCAGAATGTGGAACTTTGGGAGCTCTGAAACATCTGCCAATCACAGGTGACTTTCATGACAGCAGAAACCTATGGCCTCCAGAGAATGCATGTGGGGTTCAAACCTTTAATTTTTGTAAGGACTGGTTGTAGGGAACTATTCCATTAAAAGACAATTCTATGCAGAGCATAGAATTGCAAGATTAAGGAACATTTTATTCAAATGATATACGTTCAGGAGAAGAAAGTGAACTCCTGGAAGTTAAAATGGAAATAAAGCTCCAGGTGATCTCTGGTTGTGACCTAATTGGCACTCTGCATTCTTTTAAGGAAAGGGCAAGTATGCATGATCGTATTCTGAGTAACTCACCCTATAATCTCCAAGAAATCTAATTTATCTTGTCTATTACACCTTCATTATGTGTGATTATTCAGTATTTAAAAGGATGTATTTCTGATACACTTTTTTTCCTAGAGTTGTAGTTAAGGAAAACATGATGATATTTTGACTGATTTGTCCCTTTGTTTTCTGAGATCTTAAATATTGAAAGAGAAGCACCTTGAAGAACAAATGGAGTAGTATAAACAATGTGGAGTTTTTCAGCGTCTCACCTTCAAGCTACTTTTATACCTCGGTCCAAAGATCACTTGAATCAGGGAGAGGCATCCTGGACTCCCTACTCCTCAGGGGCTTTCCATGCTAGAAAAGCTTTCCTTGCCATTCGGCTTCCAGCAATAACTCTCTTTATTATATTTTCTGCACACTTCAAACTTTTCCATTCAGGATTATTTCCTGTATCTATAATCTCACATAGATAGCATGAGGTACCATTGTAAAAATATAGACACATCTGAAGGTTGTACAATTGCCCACTTACAGATGGATTATATTCTTACAAAACTTCATAAAGAGAGCGTTTTGAAGTGTAAGATTTGTTGTTCAGCTTCCCAGGTCAACCCACATCTACACAACTTCTAATGTAACTGAACAAAAGATCCATTTAATGATGCTGGAATTCATCCTCAAATGAAAAGTCTTAAAGAATCAAAATGAGAGAGCTTGGTTGTGCTACAGGTAAAGCCACTACGATGTGTCTAGGCTGCTCCACTTTTTTTTCTTTAAAGGTTCATTTTGTGTTTTCTTTATGGGAAAGGCAGATATACAAAGAGAAGAAGAGACAGAGAGAAAGATTTTCCGTCCACTGATTCATCCCTAAGTGCCTTGAAGGCCAGAGCTGAGCCCATCCAAAGCCAGGAGCTTCTTCTGGGTCTGCCAAGTGGGTACAGGAGCCCTAGGATTTGGACCATCCTATGTTGCTTTCCCAGGCCACAATTGAGGATTTGGATTCCATATGGAATCCCAGAGATGCAAGGTGAGGATTTATCCACTAAGCCATTGTGCTTGGTCCCAG